ATATATATATATAAATATATATATATACATATATATATATATATAAATATATATATATATATAGAATATATATATATACATATATATAAATATATAAATATAGTATATGCATACATATATATTTATATATATGTATATACATATATACATACATATATACATACATATATATATACATACATATATATACATATATATGTATATATATTGTATATATATATATATGTATATGTATATATATATTATATATATATATATATATATATATCATATATATATATATATTATATATATATATATATATATCATATATATATATTATGTACATATATACATATATATATACATATATATAATATATATATATGTATATATATATACATATATATATAATTAGATATATATAATTATATATGATTAAATATAATTAAATATATATAATTATATATTCAATTATATATATATTTATATATATAATTATAATCAATTCATTATATATATATAATTATATATATATATAACTATATGTAATTATATATAATTACAAATATAATTATATATATAACTATATATGTGTTTATAAATATATTAATATATATAATTATATATAATTAAATATATAATTAAATATAGATAATTAAATACATATATTTATATATATAATTACATATATATATTCAAATATATAGAATTAAATATATATAATTATATATAGAATTAAATATGTAATTAAACATATAATTACATATATAATTAAATATATATAGATGTATATATAATTGTATATATAGTTGTATATATAATTGTATATATAATTACATATATAATTATATATATAATCATATATATATAATTATATATATAATTATATATATGATTATATAAATATATATATAATTATATGTATAATTATATATATAATTATATATATAATTATATATAAAATTATATATATAATTATATATATAATTATAATTGTATATATAATCATATATATAATTATATATATAATTATAAATATAACTATATATATAATTATATATATAATTATATATATAATTGTATATATATAATAATATATGTAATCATATATATTATCATATATATAATTATATATATATAATTTTATATATAATTATTTATATAAATATATATATATATATAATATATATATAATCATATACATATAATCATATATAATAATATATATATATAATCACATATATATAATTATTTATATATAATTATATATACATATAATTATATATAATTAATATATACATATAATTATATATATGATTATATATATATAAGTTTATATATATAATTGTAATTACATATATATAATCATATATAATAATTTTATAATATATATAATTATAATTATATATATATATATATATAATATATACACGTGTGTGTGTGTGTGTGTGTGTGGTGTGTGTGTGTGTGTGTGTGTGTGTGTGTGTGTGTGTGTGTGTGTGTGTGTGTGGTGTGGTGTGTGTATCCATGCATGTATTCATGCGTGTGCGTATGCGTGTGCGTGTGTGTAAAGCGATCCAATGTCTGTTGCAGAATTTATACTTTTCAGGGTTTTTAGGAAGTCATGGAATTTAAATTGTGTTATCTCTCTATGACGTTCAATAGCCTCTCCAGGCCAGTGTGCATAGTGTCCTGGCTCCTGAGGAGGATGTAGCGGCTCGCGTTGAGCTTTGGTTCATATTTTCTACTTTTGCCTTGGTTACTGTTGTGCCTCGAGTTAGTATCAGCTGGCTAACACTTATGATACTACTTTAAACAAGAAAGAACAGTGGAAGCCAATGTGATGTATACTCACAGATTTTGCCACCTCAAACTTTAAGCTGGCAATCATCTCATCTTTTGCAAACTCATTGTCATTGTAAATTTTTTTTATTTGTTCAAGACGTCTTCCCGGTGGAATTGCGGATGAGCGGATAAAATTTCCCGCTTCATTGTTGCTGAGGTTTCCAAATGAACGTTGGCCACGTGCGACAACACAGTACTGTAGGATAATTCATATTTGGAAGTTGTTTAATAAACACTATACAATATGTTCATAGATATGAATCAAATAAACGTAACTGGGGAAAGAATATTTCAACAATAAATACCTCCAATGGTAGATAGATGTTTTTTTCCTCAGGATATGCCTGTATACAGATGAGTTTAGGGTATTTGATTGATTTGTTATACTCCTTATTAAAATAATCTTGAACAGTGCGTTGCTCAATTTTACCACTCTCCTTATTATTCCATGGAAACTTTTGGCGATCTGGCCCATGCATACCAAGCCCAATAATCCTATAGGTGCGAGGTATGTGTGTCGTCTCAACCTGAAACGTTGATATGACAAAATTGAAATGCTTTATCCTTATACTAACATTCGTTTTTTTATGATGATAACCCTTTTTCATATCAAGAGAGCGAAATCCATTGCGACAGTTCAACATCCTGCTTACTCGCAAATCTACAAGCCCACATTCCAATCGCTTCCTTATTTCGGTGTCTAGCGGAGCATTCAGGTCTTTTCTTTCCACATGAAGAACATTCTTTATAAAATCCAACAAAGGTTGTTCCTTGTAGAAAGTCGTATGAGCCACTGCAAATAAATATTGTTCCTTTAAATTGCATATTTACCTCTATCTCTCTCTCTGTCTATGCCTCTCTCTCTCTATCTATGTTTCTCTCTCTCTCTCTCTCTCTCTCCTTCTACTACTACTACTACTATCTCTCTCTCTCGCTCCCTCTCTCTCTCCTTCTTTATACTACTACTATCTCTCTCTCGTCTCTCTCTCCTCTCTCTCTATCTCTCTGCCTCTTCTCTCTCTCTCTCTCCTCCCTCTCTCTCTCTCTTTCACGCTCTCATGCCTCTGCGTCTGCCTCTCTCTCGCTCTCTCGCTCTCTCGCTCACTCACTCACTCACTCACTCACTCACTCACTCCTCTCTCTCTCTCTCTCTCTCTCTCTCTCTCTCT